GGTCAGTTTCAGCAGCGGCTGAATCTGGACGCCAGTTCCGACTTACATACAGATTCAACTTAAGAACAAACCTACAGTCCCTATCTTGTACGTAACCCGGGGACTGCCTGTATTTTAAAATTCCCATATATTGAAGATGCTATATTTCCAGTTGTTTTAAGAACACTTAGAACAAGATGTTATGACCACCAGACCATATTTTTCAGTTTCAGCAGCGGCTGAATCTGGACGCCAGTTCCGACTTACATACAGATTCAACTTAAGAACAAACCTACAGTCCCTATCTTGTACGTAACCCGGGGACTGCCTGTATTTTAAAATTCCCATATATTGAAGATGCTATATTTCCAGTTGTTTTAAGAACACTTAGAACAAGATGTTATGACCACCAGACCATATTTTATTTTGGTTTGGTTTTTGTAAAAGAAGTAAGGAAAATTGCTTTACATTGTCTCCAAGACCTTGCTTGGTTACTCTGTAATTCAACAATTGTCATCCATGTCACTATCAAAGTAATTGAAATCTCTTCTGATATCATGATGTATTTGGATTTTTCAGACTCTCTTATTAGTATAAATATTTCCTGGTCAGCTTTCTTATCCTATGAATGTGCGTCTATAACAGTTTCTTTTGATACTCTTACCTCTAGTTCATTTCATTTCAATTCAATTCAAATTCTACTTTGGAAGCCAATCTGTGAGTGTACTTTCTTTCTGCATAGTCCTACTTCACTCATCTGTTTTTCACTGACCCATTTGTTCCTGCAAATATAAATCTCCCTAACATACTGCAGTATGTAACACCATATTTTATTGACCTAGTTAATTTCTTAATTTAGACAAATCTTGGAGGCATATCATGCCCTCAGTTCACATACATATCTTCCACTGACATCATTGGTAATCGTGTGTGTAGACGGAGCATATGATATAGTTCTAAATTACTCATTACATAAGACATGGCTACCTATTGAAACATCTGCTATTCAGATATTTTCCCCCTAACAAATCTCACCATAGGATATTAGGTAGCAGGGACTGATATGCTTTTAGCCAGAGAGTTGCTATCTTTTAAAATCCATAGCTCCAGAAGTAAAATCTCAGGGCATGTCCATACTTGTGGGAAGATTGATGCTGTGGCAGTCAATCTTCTGGTGTTGAATTTAGGGGGGCCGAGTATGGACCCACTAAATCTAATGCTAAGGGCACCCCATCAGAGTTGGTACTCCTCACTGTAACAAGTAGTAAAGGAAGTCAGTGGGAGAGTTTTTCTTGTTTTTCTTGTCATCCTGCTGCGAGGATGGCGCCAAAGCTTAACTTAAGGTACATCGACTCCAGCTACGTTATTTACATAGCTGGAATTGCGAACCTTTAGCTGACCTTTGGCTGTAGTGTAGACCTGCCTTCAGTGGTGATCCATCCATTTTGGTTGATACTCTAAATTGAAGAGGAGTGTTATAAATACCCAACCTCATGTATCAATGGTCTTCCAGATAGTGATGTATTTGGGTAATTTAAAAATACCATTCTGTGCTAGGTCTGGTCTCAAAACATCTTTGCATTTTCACCTCTGCTTGGATCTCCTATTCTTCTTCACAATACATTTAAAGCAAACCCAGTTAATCATAACTCACATAAAAACAATGTTTCTGATATCTAAATAATAAACATCCTTTAAACTTATGTTATTGACCTGACAGGGACAGGCTGAACACTTGAAAAAAAATTGTATTTACTTACTTTCAGCTTAAAAAACAGTAAACATGACTGTGCCTCTTTTTCAGTGCTTTATATTTCCTTTCTTTTATATCACAAAAATTCTCACATGGGAACACTGACAACATCACAGATTTCAAAGTGCATTCACCCATTACCATGTAAATAGTACAGTCACTTACTTTAATCCATCTTCCTTAGCCCATCTCTTTAATGTCACACCTGCAAATTCAAATGTACACACATTCTGCACTTCCTGATTTAAATACAGCAGTGTTGGATTACATTTATCAAGCTATCCGAGGTATCCGATTTGATTGATAAACTGTAAGTCACCAAACAGCTCTACTCTGAAACACTTGCTGCTGCTATTCTGACATTTCTTATATTACTATTCTTAATACGCCTGGCATACAAATATGTCAATTGCTTCACTGCTAATGATATGACCAAAATGATATATAAGGTTTTAAATCTAAATACTGTTGATTTGTAGTCCACTAAAAACTTCATGCAGCCACTAGACAGGTTAAACATTTGAAACCATACCTATGGCAGCTAAACTAAGCTGTCTCTTATTTTGTATATTTCCTTCTTTCTCCTCCAGTTGCATTTCCATCTCCTCTAATATAATCCATAAGTGATAAAACCCATATGAATTCCATATAGTGCAGATAAAATTCCAACTATTACACACCAGCTTAACTGTCCTGTAAAGTGGACACATCATTTTTTTATTTTAATTGTTTAGACCCAGAGCAAGTTCAGAAGAAACCATTCTTCTTGGAACACTCCCTTTGCTACAGCTACTTCCAACACAGCTAGCTGCACTAGAAATTACTTCTGAATTGTTCCACGTAGTCTCTAAATAGTAATTCAGTCCACTTATCAGAAAGAAGATATTTTAATAAAGTATCACTTAGTATTGATGCTTTTGTAATTTTTAGCTTACATCTTACATTTATTCAGGTAACTGGTTACCTCAGACAGAAAAGGGACATATAATCTTCCCCTTACTCACATGGCACTGTGCGGAGGTAGAGATTGTCACGTATGATCTGCTGGAGCTCGTGGTCCACCGAACCTTTCTGGAACCGTAAATTGAGGTAGTGACGAAGGTCCTTATCAACGATGCCTCCTATAAAAGTGACAAAAGGCCACGGAATAAAACAAAGCTAGTCACAGATGTTAGTTTTAAAAAAATTAAATCACCTTGTTTTCAATAGATTCAGTTATTTGCAGGTTCTTCTACCATATGGATGTTTTCTTTTTACTAGTGCCATGACAAAGGGCAGATTTTAGCTACAGAAATGCACTCAGCATCATATAGTTTCTCATTGGTAAACAATTTTTTCAAGAATAAAAACACTTAATGACAACTGACTAGTAAAATCCATAAAGTTAAAAAAAGCCAGACATTTGTGAAGCCAAATGAAACACAGAGATGTCAAAGCACTTCACTGCACAGGCAGATAACATGTATTATGCTCTGCATGATTCCTTAGCCATTGTCCATCAGCTTATTAAAAAATAATTCCCTTCTCCAAACTGTCCCTGTATAACATGTGAAAAGCTCTAGCTCCAAAGGCAGTCTGAATAAAATGTAAATAAAAACACTCCCAAGCGTCCTCAATGCTCGTAAAAATAATAAATAATCAATACCATGTTCACTATAAATAGTCCTTACATGTGGAAAATATATAATATCAATGAAGTGTACTCATTTCATTTTACCCTTGAAATCAAATCAAGGATAGGGGGATAGCATCTCAAAATTATTTACAAACTCGCATATAGATGAAAAGAATCAGGTTGAACATACTGTCTCTCCAATTTCACCTTACTTTAGACCAAATCAGTTTAGACATTGAAGAACTGCTCAACTAGTTATTATATGCAGCATATTCCATTATGGAAACAGATTAATCAAATCTAATATATTTCATTAAACATTTTTAGAAATATTCCCTCTCCATCTCTATGAACTAAAACGACATATCATATTTCGTTACTATTGGCAAAAGTCTATAAATAGCCATATTTCTTACTTTCTCCAAATAATATTTAACATGGGGGAGGAGACGTAATATAGAAAATCCATTACTTGCCATTCCTGGATATAATCACCAAGATGAAACATAACTGGATTGATTTCTAACTTGTTGCATCACACATTCAACTTCAAAGCATGGAAAACAAAAGGCAGCTGTAGCTGAACCTTCTCACAAAAAAAGGTACTTGGACTCTGTATACAAAAAGATTGAATGGCAATTAGGAGCAAATTTCCTCCCCAGCCTGATTATCCTCATCAGACTGAATGCCAATGGAAACAGTCAATAATTAAAAAACAAAATATTTTTCTCCTTATAATTATACCTACTTCCTGCTCAATAACAAGTTGATAGCGTTTTTACCCCGACTGTTTTTCACCAGCTTCAAATTCCACAAAAGCTTATACATAACTTATACATAACTGGTAAGCTTTAGTTAAATTAAAAACAACTTTCTACAATACACATCCCATCAAGAGACACAAAATACCTATGTGCCGGTTTCCCAGATGGCCAGGACTGCCATACAGGTGTCTGCTCTGCAGCAATCCAAGCTGAGCTACTCAGTCCATTACTTTAGCACTACCAAATCCTGTCTCTAACGACAGGTTTTATGTGCAAGACTAGACCATACCTAGTCCTGCTAGTTTATTACAGGAATACAGAGAAGTGAGGGCTGGAGGAAAGCTGCAGAGAAACGCTCTGTTAGTGAAAGGAATTAACCATCCTTTCTGATTGGCTGTAAAGAGTAAAGGTCCTGCAGCTCTTGCTCTCCCTGTTCTCTCTAATGCATGGAACATACTCACTGATGCAGATGCTTTCTAGCAGCCTGAGAAAATGCCAGCTATAGAACAACAGATGTACTTTGCCTACTGATATAAGCTAGAATCAGTCACTTTATGGAAACGGCACTGACATAACTCCGTTTACTACTATATGTGAATTCCTGCCCTTCAAATGCAGTCTCGAGTTCTTCCCACATCCTCAAAACAGCCATTTATTTCACCTTGTGTTAAAAAAGCACTATACATCTTTAAAACAACACATGAAGAAGAGAGTTAACTGATATTTGTCAATATATAACATGTCCAGCGATGGTGAGTGTAAATATATATATAAACACATATATTATATATATATATAAACAAACACACACATATATATATGGACGTTATATACATGGATGTTATTTTTTGTTTACACACACACACACACACACACACACACACACACACACACACACACACACACACACACACAAAATAACGTCCATGACCTACCATTTTATATGAAGAGATTCAATAACTGAACTTAAGATCAGCCCTAAAACTTGAACCCTGTGGTCCAGGAAAAGAACTGGCAATGTCAAAGCACAAGTTCAATATACCAAAAGTATATTCTGTGCTTTGTTGTATGCTATAGCATAGAAGAAAGCTGGAGGTTTTTTAGAAACCTGATATAAAGAGCTGTCAAAGAAATCACAGGAAGAATATGTTCAAGCCACAATATTTCCCTAACAAAAATCCTTGTGTTCCCAGTTTCAGCTGAAATTTGGGCATAGATGATGCTATTTTGTGACCTTAATAGAACACTTATCTTTACATTTTAGAAGGCTGGAACTGAATAATATTTGATTTCGCATGTATGACAAATATTCCTATTGGTGTCCTGGTCTGCACTTTTTCCTACAGTGCCCATTGGCTGTGAATGGCAATCTGCAGCCAATGGGAACTGCATTTGCCCCTACTTATGGAGTCACAGGTAAATAGAGTTTTATTGCCCACGCCTGGTCTTCATGATGAAAAAAGTCGTTCTTTAACAGAAATAGATTACCATTCAAATCTTCTGATACAAAAATCAGAAGTAGTAGAGAGAAGTGGAGAAGGAGAAACATACCACTGACAATATTCAACCTATCTAAGAAAAGTGAGGCTCCATGTCTGTGGAGCTGGTAAGTAAGAGGCTTATCAGATAGTTGACTAGTGACGTGACTAGTCACTTCTTTGCTGCCAGTATCAGAGAGGCAGCAAGGGTGGGGAGGGATGGAGCAGGAGCTGGTGCTGGGAGAAGCCAGCTTAAAAGCCAGTTCCCCCCGGCACTATCTTCACAGGGAAAAGGGGAGGTAGAGGCACAGTGGAAACAGCACAACTAGGGACTGAAGCAGCTTCAGCTTGCACCACTTCTGCTGTGATTCTGCTTTTAAAATGTACAAGAACCCTGCTGGGGCTCTTGCGCATTTCAAAAGGAATCCCTGTACTCTCTTGTGGGGATTCTGCTTTTGAACTGTAGCAAAAGCCCTGTAGAGGAAATCCCATCAACTATTTCCTGTAGAGGAAATCCCATCTTGCTCTTCAAACTGTTTTAGGAGTAAATACATAAAATATTTAAAGCTAATACAAAATGTTCAGCTTTAGCTTCCTTATAAATATTTTTTCAGAATGTTCATGAATTACTACTTGCCCATTCTGTACCACATCTTTTCCTCAAAATGACTGCCTAGGACTTGGTATACTAGATGTTATTTGTATTTTAAGTGGTATAAATTGGCATCTCAAGCATGAACAACTGCCTTAGAGATTTTATTTCCCGGGATTAAAATAAAAATATTTGTTTCCTTGGGTTCTCTTGGAAAAGAAAAGCAAGAGTGTGTGAATCTCATGTCTAAATTTCCATCTTTACATGACCTACATGCCTTAGACAAGTAAAAGGTGAATTCCCTAAGATATGTACCTTGTGAAAACAAATACACTCATAACTAAGACCTTACTTGATTCGCAGAATAACTATCTAAAATCACAACTGACTTGTGGAAAAGCCACAGAAAAATCACAGAAAAGTAATAATGGATTTTATTAATTGCAGTAATTTGGAAAAGGATTGACAGCAGGAGCCCAAGGCTGGTACTGAGAGCATGAACTGCTACCCAGGTAACTCTCACCATCAAAACTGTGTTGGAAGCCTGATATTGTAGGATATACCGTTTCCATAATGACAAATTACATAGGACCATAATCATTACTTTATTTCATGTAAACTTTCCCTTTCCATATCATTCCAGTTGCCTAATTCCATCTCTCTCTTGCTGTCATGGCCTATTTCTAACCTTGATCTTAAAGTCAAAGTCTGAGCGGCTACTATCAGCCAGACATAGTTGATTTAAACTGGCTTCCATTGATGGCAATAAAACAATGCCCGGTACCACCAGCTGAAGAGCTGCTCCAATGTTTCAAGTCTAAAGTACTATATGAAAATATTCATAATACCACCACATAATAGCTTTTTGCTATTTCGAAATAGTGCGTCCACACTGACTGGACGCTAAATCGCATTTAAGGCCAGCCGGAACCAGGTCAAGCAGGGCATCAGGTCAGGAGTTACTTTGTGTGGCTGCTGCCTGAGGCTATCTGAGGCCTGTGCTTAAAGTGACCCCCCGCTCGGACAACCCATTCTCAGGTTACCCTGCTTGCTTGCCTACTTCGGTGAGGGACAACAAAGTATTTTGTCTCTGCATGCTCCGGTTGCCCTCACTCAGGACACCACAGCACTCTGCAACATGGACCCAGAGCTGCCCCTGGGCACTATGGTGCTACTCGTGGACGCGCTGCTGTGAGCCTGGCTGAGCTTTCTGCTTTTTGGCTGCCATCCGGGAGGTCCATCGGGGGGCTGTCAGTATCCAAGAGGCCCTGTGGGAGAGCTTCCATCCTGAGGAGCACTAAGAGCCCCCCTGGTCTGCCCCCTGGGAGCTTGTGCCTCATTCCTCCCTCACATCCCTCCACTTACCCCTCCCTAACCCCCCTTCCTGATGTCAAATAAAATACACATATTTTCATGAACACAAACGCTCTTTATTTAACAAAACTGGGCGGCGGGGATGAAACTCTGGTTGGACTAGGGAAAGGAGGCGGGAGAGGGGAAGAGAGAGGGGGGAGAGGGGAGGAAGGAGCTGGAAGGAGGAAGCAAGGGGAAAAAGAGGGAGGGGAAGCTCAGGGCTCATGTTTTGGGGCCACTGGGTTGTGACTGCTGGCTCTGGGTTGGCAGACTTAGAGCTGGCACAGGTACTGTGGCCAGAGTCTACCCCTTTAAGGGC